AGGGGCGGGGGATGGGTTCTGGGCCCCACAGTTCTAGATTGATGTTGGTGACAAATTGCAAATGGTTTGGAGAACAGCAAAAGATGGAGAACTTTTTCTTAGAGAAATCCTATCAGGCAAGGCTTGCCAAACTAGCAACTGGCAGGCCAGGTAGAACTTGTCGTGGTGACGTGGAGAAACCAGGACTGAACAGAACCATCCTTATTGCTCTATCTATACGAACCAGTCCAATAGGAAAAACCGGCCGCTACTGGATTTGGCCAAAGGATGAGCTAGTCCAGTCCCCTAATGCTTTTGAAATCATACCTCACCTCGCCACCCCCTATCCACGCTCAGGAGATGACAGAAGCTGCACCCATCAGCTTCACTCCCCAGCAACTGCCATTCTGAGTCACTCTGCTTGGGATACTGGAGGGAGAAGATGATGTGTCCAATGTAACAAAGAACAATGGGCAGTTGCATCCTCCACGTGCCTGTGCCCTCTGGTGAAACCCTCCAGGGTGGCACCTGCATCACCACATCCTGTGGGGGGGAAACGTCCGCTTTCGGTTTACTCCTCAACCAGGGCTGCTCAATAAACCACCCACACCCCATCAGTAGGAGCTGAGATCCAATTGTGTTGGGGGGGGGACTCAGCCAAGGGAGACATGGATAGAACCTCTGTTTGCTTCCTGATCGTTGCTCACAAAACAAAGAGAGCTAATTTGCAAATGACCAGAGGCAATGAAATGCCTGCTGTGACAACCAGCTGTTTCTCTAAACTTAAGGAACCCCCTCTTCTTCTAATGAACACCTGAAAGATCCACTTGGCCCTCAGCTCAGCTAGGCAACCCTCTCCCCCGACAGAGTTCTTGTAGTAAGACCATCAGAGAGACAGCCGCGCACGCTCACTCTCTCCCCTCTCCCCACCCCGGTCCTCTCTATTTTCTTTGTAGGTAGCTGGCTTTATAAATGGTCGCCCCACCCCCAATTAAAAGGGTCCCAAACCTTTTCGTATGAAGAGGATTTTTCTAACCCCTTCACCACTGAATAATTCCCTTTTTTACAGTTTTGCACCTGTTAAGATTTCACCTGGGAGATGCCTGGTTGTGTCTGTATCAGATGATAAATACAGATGCATGCTAGAGTTGTATTAAGTCACCACAGTACACATCTCCTAATTTGGATTCCTTCACACAAATTCTCCCCTTTTCATAGTCATTTTATAGTAAATTCATGTTTTCTTGGAGCTGTCTAACTTGACCCCAAAACCTCTATCCTGGCTAATCGTGGTTCATTCGGAACCTTCTAGCAGTTGATACCTGCTTCTCATACTATGTATTGAACGTACTCTGCATTTCATTTAGTGAACCTGGGAGATGTTTGCTGTTTTGCGGCCGATCAGGAAAGGATCCTTAGCTGAGGAACGGTCCAGCTGCACTTCAAACCCCCTGCCAATCAACTGGTTTTTGGCTCCTTTTTAAATTCAAGGACCTTCTGTTTTTGTTTCCTTTGCAGAGATTGGATTCATTGCATTGCATTTCTCAAAGATTCTCCGACTTTCTTCCCTTTTCTCTCTTTTTCAAGCAGAGAGGCAGATTATGGCCAATTCCAAATTCCCTTGGGCAACATAACGTGTAGGGCATCTCTCAATCCGGACTTCGTGAAGCAACCATTTGCTTCAAGATTGTGGCTTCAGCTGCAGCCGGATTCTCAATCAATCCTTTAAGAGAAGGCAAAGTTGTTGTGGTTGTTGTTGTTGTTTAATTAGAACAGATGTAGCTCATCAGCAATAGTCGATATACAGCCAAAACTTTTTTTCACTTCCCCTGCCCCTCTGCCAAGAAGCAGAGGAAGTGATTAATTTGCCAATATCCTGAAGTGGCTCACTTATTAAGCCACTTCACAATATTGGCAGGAGCAATTTCCATATGAACCCTGGGCTTGATGGAATTACTTTAATCCAGCCCGACCCTTACAAATCCTGCTTCTACTGTAGCCCTGCGCTTTGTCCATCAGCCTAATCATTAGACCACGCTGGATGTCAACAGGAACTTTAAGTATTGAACTAAGTTGGGAATTGACAAATGGAAACAAGCAACTTAATTATGTTTTCAAAAGATCATTTAAGTTTGCATTTTTTGCGTTAATATTCCTACCAAATAAAGTTAGTGGAAGCATTAAGGTGGTGCTTTTTCTGAAGCCAGGAAAAGCCACAGGGTACAGTGCTGGGGTGGGGTTTTTCTCAGGTTGCCTCAAAATCAGCAGAGCTCAGTTTCCTCAGGAGATGCAGGTTCGAGACTCCACCGGCCCTTCCAACTCACTGGGTGAAATGGGGACAGTCCCTCCCAGTCCATCAATCTGACTCTCCTTGGGTTTTGTTGTTGTTGAGGGTATAGAGGGGTATGCTGCCTTAGCTCACTGCAAATAATCAATAAACAGTAGTAAATAAAGAATCCATCCAAGTTTCAAGTAAGTAACAAGTATGGAAAGGCGTATTTATAAACCTAGGTTTGATCTGAAAGTTAACTTGGGAAGATAAAAAAGGAGTTAAAAGCACAGATGCGCACTTGCACCTTCAGTTTAGGAAGGTTTTTAGGATAATGATTTCATAATGTAAATTTAAACACAGGTTTAAAAATTAATAGCTGAGATCATGTTGCTTAGAGTAGTAACTTGGAATGGGAATCGGCCCGTTGGATCAGGGACTTCAGGTGGGAGAAAAAAACCTTTTGCTGTGGATCTCCTGTAACCAAATGATCTAAGTAACTTGTGTTCGTCTTGTATTAGAGGGTGGTTGCACAACGGGAGTTGACAGAGCAATATCTTGATAAGTGTCTGGTCCCTGAATGAAAAGGTAGGATCAGATAAGTGTTTGTCCCGCTGTTCGGTTCATTGCGGGAATGGGCTGGTTCACCTCTTTTTTCTGGCAATCACATGACATAAGAACCTAAGAAGAGCCCTGCTGGATCAGGCCAAGCTTCATCCATCGAGTCCAGCTTCCTGCATCTCACAGTGGCCCCACCAAATAACCGCTGGAGCGAACCAATCTGTCCCCAGAGTCGTCTTATCCATACCTTTCTAGGCCCCTATCAGAGGTGACTACTTTTTTGATACTGTTAGGGTCACTTCATTTTGGTTTGTTTCCAGCCTATACAATGGCTGGAAATGAGCCAAAGCAGAGCTTGCCACTTTAAATTTGCTACTTTCTTTCAATTTCCAGTATTGTTAAGAGTCTTAAGAAGACAGGTCATTTCACAATATAGGAAAATAAAATATCTCCTTTGCTCTATGTGGAAGAACAGAGGATGTAGAAGAGCTTCCCCATGAGCCAGATGGGGGATTCTAGGAAG